AACTTGTCGGACGTGGTACCTGTGAACCTCAACGTCCGACTTTCCATCCATAGCTCGACTATGGATGAATACGTCATCGAAATAACTCGGCGCGAATTCTCGTACTGGTCTCAACAGATGTGATACACATCTGTTGATCGTGGCAGGGGCATTACTGAGCCCTTGTGGCATTACTAGCCATTCCCAGAGCATGCCGCTAGGCGTGCTAACTGCGGTATAGGGTATATCCCGTTCCCGCATAAGGATTTGATAGAAGCCATCCATCAAATCCATGGACGAAAAGATGGTACTCTTTGACATACCATCAATGATTACGTCCTTCCTCGGTATCGGCGTCTGAGCCGGTACCGTTGCAGCGTTCAATTTGTTGAGCGCGTGCACTATCCGCCACCCTCCTGTTGCTTTTCGCACACAGAAGGTCGGAGAGCTATGTGGGGAAGTTGATTCCCTCACATGGCCCGCAGCTAAACGATCGGCAAAGAACTTGTCGATCGCAAGTACTTGTTCACGAGGCAGTGGCCACTGCTTCATGACACAGTACTTCGAGCCTGGTTTAAGCTCGACCTCGTGTCGAATACCTTTATCCTTCGGTAATTCGCACGGAACAGTTTCAGGGAATACATCCTTGAATTCAACCAAATCTTCATAGAGAGGATTTTTCTTGAGCGATTCCCACGATTGGGAGTCATATCGCTCAATTCGTGTCTTTTCATCTAGGACACTCTCGTCCATAGATGAACTACTGAGAACTCTCTCGTTCTCAGTGAACACTGTTGCTGACCTTATGTCGGTTACACACTCGTCGTCAGCGACGAGTATGCAGATCTGCTTGACTTTGCCACTACGCAGATCACGCAAGAACCTTTTATGTTCGAGCGTTGGCAACTGAGTGATCTCCGAAGTTAACTTCGGAGGCGCAATCAGATCAAGTGTATAAGCGCCTACACTTGATCCGTTATTGACTAGGACATTTAATGTCTCTGTCATTTCCTGGGGACTTATTCCCTCAGGCTTCGAAGGACTTATTCCTTCGTCTTCCCGGGGACTTATTCCCGCGGGTTTCGGGGAACTTATTTCCGCCGTATTTGTAATCTTGGGACTTATTCCCTTTACTTCCTCTAGCTGGGGTTGCGCAACCGCAGCGAGATCCTCTACGAAAGACTCTCCAGTCGATCTAGGATTATCGTTTCGCTTAACCTGAGCGATCGATTGTTTCTCTTCTAGATGTTCCCCGCTAGGGATACATCTTTGTCCCAGTCCACCCGACTTATTCGAGTGGTGGACCTTCGGCGCAGCCTGTGTTTCCTCACAGCCGCCGGAACTTTGCTCCGAAGTGTAACCGTTTGGTACACTAAGGTTTTGTGCAGTCGTACTAACGACCGTACCACAAGTGAGGCCATCGCACTCACTCGTAGTACATCCACACGCTTGTGGACGCTCCAAAACGTTCATTTGATGGCCATCTGATGAACAAGCGGCAGGCATCGTTGCTGTTCGATGTTGCCAGTTTACCCGTGGTTCGTACCTTCTGAGCCACGGTATTCCAAGGATGACATCAAATTTGTCATCCAAATCCAATACGATAAAGTCATCGTCATATTGGGTATCTTCTAGAGTATAGTGGATCTTCACTATACGCTTCATGACGGTTACGGATGCGCCTGTCGCAAGACGTACCTTCATCCTCGTAGGAGGTGTGTCACATTCACTGAACTTGAAGTGACCATCTTCTAGCGATTGACGTCGCACAAAATTGTTAGACGCCCCACAATCGACTAGAGCTCGAAGGGACAACTTATTCGTCACTTCGAGTTTCAAGGTAATGAGTGAGACCTCATTACCTAGAGCAGCAACGCACAACGTTTGTGTGTTGGGAGCAACCTTCATCAAGAGGCCTACAAATTCTCTTGACGTTGCTGGATCAGTAGGGTGCTCCGCACCTACTGATCCTGTCCGTTTTTTGACGGTCCATCCCGTTGTTGCGTCTTTGCACCAACAGCGGACCCTCGTCCCTGCCCCTTTCTCATGGGTGGACGGTCACTACGCCCAGTGTCGCGAGACACTGGACGAGGGGCACTACACTCGTAAGCGTAGTGTCCTGTCTTTTGACATCTGTTGCATCTCTGCAACTTCTTGTAGCCTGTAGAGCGAGCCTTCTCGCTCTCTACGTAACATAGTTCCATCGGCTCTGGACCTCCGTTGTCATATCGTCTCGGTTGACGATATGATGTCGAGCTGGCGCGAGCCTGTCTCAGACTGAAGTCTTCCTGCTCCGCAATGGAAATGGCTTGTTCTAGTGAATCTAGTTCAAGCCGGAACAGGTGAGTCTTGACGGGACCATCCGCAAGACCCTGCCTGAACACCGAAACCAACGTGTGTTCATCCACCGGATTGGAACTTATACAACTCGTGAGATGTCGTATATGTTGAGCGTAAGCGTGCACATCACGCTTACCCTGCTTGAGCTTCAAGAGTTCGGTTCGAGCCCCGAACTCAGCTCCAGGCGGTTCAAACGTTTGTCTGAGCCGCGACTTGAAGACTTCCAACGACCCAAACGCATATGGGTCGTGCAACTTGAGCCCCAGTGCCCAAGTCTTGGCACGTCCTGCCAGATTTGACTGGGCAAATGCAACTCGCATTTCCCCATCGTCGATGCGACGCGTGTAACGGGGCACCCTGAAGCTTGTACTGGTGACAGTACAAGCTACTTATTCCGATGACAGAATAAGGCGGTGCCTCGTAACTTCACGTACACTCGTACGTGCAGAGGAAGACGGTAAGAAGAAGCGAGTACTTGGTTAAAGTAAAAAGTAGAACTGTATTTATAATAGTTAATGTCTGCAATAAATCACTATTTATCTTCATCTAACTATGTCTAAATACAAATGTGTAAATCAGTTATCTGCTCACCACTCATTGCGTGCGTCTGTCGTGGCGCGTCTTCGTTGGTTGATATAATGGCCTATATCAACCAATTAGGAACTACTTGTAAGTGCTACAGAATATTTGTCCTTATGACAATATTCTGAGAATATAACTCTTATAGTTATATTCTATTAACAATTTCTTATAAATTGTTATGTAACGATTCACCCCGTTACATCACCCCCCCCTTAACCATCAGTCACTTTAGTGACTGATTGACTAAATGGATACTCGTCCCAAATCATTTGGGACAGGGTTTGCACTTGTTGGTCCGCGTCCACTTTCCAACATCTCATCGCATGGTAAACAAGCCCATGCGATGCGCGATCAAGGCCGCCGAGAGCGCGTCTGCACGTCTCTGTGCGGACGCCGAAGCAGAAACAACAGTAACTGATGTATCATCGGTTGCTGAAGCGACCCAGCCTGTGTCACTTGGTGATGCAGGCGCTGGTCATGAAGACACTCGTGTCTTCACAGAGTACGAGCTCGGTGTCTCGTACTCTCCTGATACGGATGACGGATCCGTATCGACGGCGATTGAATCTAAGCCGCCTGCCAAGCGTGGCATGGACGATGCTTTGCGTCGCAGCATCTTTGGTTCATCTGATGAATCAGATGAACCATCGCCGAAGCGAAGGCGCTCGAGGTCGCGAGACTCGAACGCTAACAGTGGTGTCGGTTCTCCTATGGACACCACTTCGCAACGAGGTGCCAGTACTTCTGTCGGCACATCGCAGGAAGAGCGGGACCGCAATGTCTTGCGTCTCGCTCCAGAAAAGAAGGCATGGATTCCTCCCAAATCTGTTATGGATCACTTGTCGGCGACGACGAGTGATCGTTATCGAACACGATTGTTCGATTCGTCAAGGATCCATCACCTTGACCCCAGCGCGAAAAACTATCGCGCTGAACATGAATTCTTCATCGATGCTTTCTTTAGACATCGATGGTACAGTGGGAATCACAAACGTGATGGTCCCTCACTACTTCAGGCGTGGAACGCCTACATCCATAACCTTGAGGATGTAGGTCGTGACGCTTGGAACGACAAACTTATCAAAGCTCGTGATAAGTTTGAAAAGCGAACCCCGACAGGTGCACGCTACAAGCTGCATCGTCTGTCAAGGGAGAAAGGATTACCCTGCCTCTCTTGGGGAGACTCGTGCCCATGTTGTGTGAACAACTCTGCACGAGCACCTAAGGAGGCTTACCTCCTTACCAGCCCGTGGTGGCGCGTACGTGTCTCTACTGAGATGTACGAAGGGATTGACAACCTGAAATCCCTTCACGACCGTGCCGGGAAGACTTTCTCCGGCGGTCCTTCTGCGGCACAGGATGTGCCGCGTCGTACTGCTCAACCAGACCCAGTACGTCGATCATCAGTTGGGAGCGGGGCTCCCAAGAATCCCAGGACGGGGGATAGCCGCGCCGCCGGACGAGATAACTCGTCCGACGTCCGTTCACGTCGCGGTGGTTCAACAGCTGCTCAACTAGATAGCGCTGGCCACCGCGAGAGTCCTCTAATGGAGGTGGAGGAGGAGGAAAGACGCTCTCCACACGATCATGTGGATCGGTGTGTTCCCGAGAGCTTCTTTGATCGCGTAACGCAAGGGTTACGCGACGATCTCGAGCATGAGCGGAATAGGCGTCTCCAAATGGCGGACACTGCCTCGAAGCATCGAGCTGAGTTTGCCTTTGCTCAGCTCGAGAACGAGAGATCTCTGACATCTCTTCGTGACGAGCTAAGGGTAGCTCGTGGGATTGTTGATCGGTCTCGGGCTGAGATAACTGCTCTTCAGACCCTTGTTGACGCCCACCATCGGGAGCACAAGGCTCTCTGCGAGATGCTTGAGCGCAAGGGCGTTCTTCATCGGAAGAAGCAGCGTACTGATGGTACGGCTTAAGCCGACCAACGTAAAACGTGGGATGCGTTCGCATCTTACGTGGTAACTCGATCGTGTATGCATTGCCTAGGCGGTGCAATACACGAAATGGGCCAATGTACTTGGGTAGTAGTTTACTGCTACCCAAGTTAGTCACTACATGCTTTGGTAGATTAACCGTAGACAGTAGGACTAAGTCACCTTTATTAAATAAAAGAGTGTTTGCCCTTCCATTCTTGTCAGCGTTTTGCTTTTGCTTATCCACCGCTTCGGCGATGGAGTCTTGCACAAAACGGACTACCGTTTCACGAGCCAGTATGAACTCATCTGATGACTCGTTAGCTTCAGTGTGCTGTGAGCGCACTGCAGCAACAACAACCTTTTCTTCAGTGAGGGCTTCCGCACTCTCACTGGGATCATCTTCTTCAGTGAGGGCTTCCGCACTCTCACTGGCATCATCTTCTTCGATATCGATGTTATCGATATCGGCATCAAACGCAATGACTTCTTCGTCAGAGCGTGATGAGCGTGAACCAATTCGTTTTTTTGCTCGCGCGAGTCCCTCCCCCCTTAAACCAGAGTTACACTCTAGTAAGGTGGGTACACGCGGATGGCGCAAGCCATTCACGTAAAACGGTGTATGTGTCGTGGACGCATGCACCGAGTTGTTGATGGCAAACTCTACCATTGGCAAAAACTCACTCCAACTCTTAAAGGAGTGTACGTATTCTCGAAGTATCTCTTCAAGGACACGATTGGCACGTTCCGTCTGACCATCTGACTCTGGATGATCAGATGTTGACATCTTCAAGCGCGTTCCGAGTGATTTGAACACGGAACGCCAGAAATCAGCAGTGAATCGTGGATCTCTGTCTGATACGAGTTCACGGGGCAACCCATGAAGTCGGAAGATGGTGTCAATAAAGACACAAGCACAGCCACTTGCCGTGATTGTCTCTGGTACAGCCACAAGGTGTACCATTTTGCTGAATCTGTCAACAAATACGAGAATACCCGTATTCCCGCGTGCGTCTTTGGGTAACCCGAAGACGAAATCCATTGAGATGGATTCCCAGCACTCAGTCGGAACCGTTAGAGGCTGTAAAGGTGCACGCAGTGAAGGACTTGACTTCACTCGTTGACAGACTTCGCATGCGCGAACATACTTTCGCACAAACTGATACTGGCGGGGCCAGTAAAAGTCTCGACTTACCGTGAGATGTGTTTTCTCTCGGCCACGATGTCCTCCTATAGGAGCATCGTGATACTCGAACATGATCCGCAAACGCAGATCAGTATCATCTGGAATGACAACACGTGGTGTGTCACCAGAAACGGCTGTATAATACAGTAAACCGTTACGAGTAGTGTATCGATCTGATGCAGATCGATACGCAGACGACAGTCGTTTCAACGATTCTCGGGATGGTTGGGAGAGATGTGTCAACAACTTCACAATCTCACCATCTTGGGCGTATGCCCGCCTCACATCATCATACAACGTTGTAGATGGGACTGAGGACGTCATAACCGCAACAGTGACCGTCTCACTGTTGGGTTTCGCGACTGTTTCAAAGTCGGGACGACGTGAGAGTGCATCAGCGACGACATTAAGTCGTCCTGGTTTGTACTCGACCGTAAAGTTGTATTCCGCAAAGAATGACAACCACCGCGCCATTCGTTGTGAAAGGTGCGGGCTGTTCACTGCCGTGCGTAATGACGCATGGTCAGTGTAAACAACGAAGGGTCTATCTCCTAATAGATAGACTCTGAACTTCGCGAGTGCATACTTCATGGCAAGGAGTTCCTTGTCATGCACTGGATAGTTCCGCTCAGCTGGTTGCAGCTGACGCGACTGATAGCAGACGACGCTTTCAACGCCTTCAAGATCGTACTGCATTAATGCACAGCCGATTGCGAAATCGCTGGCATCACAGACCACATGAAATGGCCTGTCCTGATCGGCTATTGCTAGGACTGGGGATTGTATCAAGCTCTGCTTGATACCCTCAAAGGAGCGTTGACATTCAGCGTTCCATTACCACCTCTCGTTCTTTTTCAACAAACGAGAGAGGTGCACAGTCATCTCGGCGTAATTGCGTGAATACTTGTGCAAATACGCCGCTAGCCCAAGGAATTTTCGAAGACCTTTGACATCAACCGGCACAGGCCAGTCGGTGATCGCCTTGATCTTTTCGGGATCAGGACGTACACCGTTCTTACCAACGATGCACCCAAGAAGTGGTATTTCGCTTGCTGCAAATATACACTTCTTGAGGTTTGCATACAATTGATGCTTTCGCATTATTGTAAGAACTTGTCGGACGTGGTACCTGTGAACCTCAACGTCCGACTTTCCATCCATAGCTCGACTATGGATGAATACGTCATCGAAATAACTCGGCGCGAATTCTCGTACTGGTCTCAACAGATGTGATACACATCTGTTGATCGTGGCAGGGGCATTACTGAGCCCTTGTGGCATTACTAGCCATTCCCAGAGCATGCCGCTAGGCGTGCTAACTGCGGTATAGGGTATATCCCGTTCCCGCATAAGGATTTGATAGAAGCCATCCATCAAATCCATGGACGAAAAGATGGTACTCTTTGACATACCATCAATGATTACGTCCTTCCTCGGTATCGGCGTCTGAGCCGGTACCGTTGCAGCGTTCAATTTGTTGAGCGCGTGCACTATCCGCCACCCTCCTGTTGCTTTTCGCACACAGAAGGTCGGAGAGCTATGTGGGGAAGTTGATTCCCTCACATGGCCCGCAGCTAAACGATCGGCAAAGAACTTGTCGATCGCAAGTACTTGTTCACGAGGCAGTGGCCACTGCTTCATGACACAGTACTTCGAGCCTGGTTTAAGCTCGACCTCGTGTCGAATACCTTTATCCTTCGGTAATTCGCACGGAACAGTTTCAGGGAATACATCCTTGAATTCAACCAAATCTTCATAGAGAGGATTTTTCTTGAGCGATTCCCACGATTGGGAGTCATATCGCTCAATTCGCGTCTTTTCATCTAGGACACTCTCGTCCATAGATGAGCTACTGAGAACTCTCTCGTTCTCAGTGAACACTGTTGCTGACCTTATGTCGGTTACACACTCGTCGTCAGCGACGAGTATGCAGATCTGCTTGACTTTGCCACTACGCAGATCACGCAAGAACCTTTTATGTTCGAGCGTTGGCAACTGAGTGATCTCCGAAGTTAACTTCGGAGGCGCAATCAGATCAAGTGTATAAGCGCCTACACTTGATCCGTTATTGACTAGGACATTTAATGTCTCTGTCATTTCCTGGGGACTTATTCCCTCAGGCTTCGAAGGACTTATTCCTTCGTCTTCCCGGGGACTTATTCCCGCGGGTTTCGGGGAACTTATTTCCGCCGTATTTGTAATCTTGGGACTTATTCCCTTTACTTCCTCTAGCTGGGGTTGCGCAACCGCAGCGAGATCCTCTACGAAAGACTCTCCAGTCGATCTAGGATTATCGTTTCGCTTAACCTGAGCGATCGATGGTTTCTCTTCTAGATGTTCCCCGCTAGGGATACATCTTTGTCCCAGTCCACCCGACTTATTCGAGTGGTGGACCTTCGGCGCAGCCTGTGTTTCCTCACAGCCGCCGGAACTTTGCTCCGAAGTGTAACCGTTTGGTACACTAAGGTTTTGTGCAGTCGTACTAACGACCGTACCACAAGTGAGGCCATCGCACTCACTCGTAGTACATCCACACGCTTGTGGACGCTCCAAAACGTTCATCAGATGGCCATCTGATGAACAAGCGGCAGGCATAGTTACTGTTCGATGTTGCCAGTTTACCCGTGGTTCGTACCTTCTGAGCCACGGTATTCCAAGGATGACATCAAATTTGTCATCCAAATCCAATACGATAAAGTCATCGTCATATTGGGTATCTTCTAGCGTATAGTGGATCTTCACTATACGCTTCATGACGGTTACGGATGCGCCTGTCGCAAGACGTACCGTCATCCTCGTAGGAGGTGTGTCACATTCACTGAATTTAAAGTGACCATCTTCTAGCGATTGGCGTCGCACAAAATTGTTGGACGCCCCACAATCGACTAGAGCTCGAAGGGACAACTTATTCGTCACTTCGAGTTTCAAGGTAATGAGTGAGACCTCATTACCTAGAGCAGCAACGCACAACGTTTGTGTGTTGGAAGCAACCTTCATCAAGAGGCCTACAAATTCTCTTGACGTTGCTGGATCAGTAGGGTGCTCCGCACCTACTGATCCCTGTCCGTTTTTTGACGGTCCATCCCGTTGTTGCGTCTTTGCACCAACAGCGGACCCTCGTCCCTGCCCCTTTCTCATGGGTGGACGGTCACTACGCCCAGTGTCGCGAGACACTGGACGAGGGGCACTACACTCGTAAGCGTAGTGTCCTGTCTTTTGACATCTGTTGCATCTCTGCAACTTCTTGTAGCCTGTAGAGCGAGCCTTCTCGCTCTCTACGTAACTATAGTTCCATCGGCTCTGGACCTCCGTTGTCATATCGTCTCGGTTGACGATATGATGTCGAGCTGGCGCGAGCCTGTCTCAGACTGAAGTCTTCCTGCTCCGCAATGGAAATGGCTTGTTCTAGTGAATCTAGTTCAAGCCTGAACAGGTGAGTCTTGACGGGACCATCCGCAAGACCCTGCCTGAACACCGAAACCAACGTGTGTTCATCCACCGGATTGGAACTTATACAACTCGTGAGATGTCGTATATGTTGAGCGTAAGCGTGTACATCACGCTTACCCTGCTTGAGCTTCAAGAGTTCGGTTCGAGCTCTGAACTCAGCTCTAGGCGGTTCAAACGTTTGTCTGAGCCGCGACTTGAAGACTTCCAACGACCCAAACGCATATGGGTCGTGCAACTTGAGCCCCAGTGCCCAAGTCTTGGCACGTCCTGCCAGATTTGACTGGGCAAATGCAACTTGCATTTCCCCATCGTCGATGCGACGCGTGTAACGGGGCACCCTGAAGCTTGTACTGGTGACAGTACAAGCTACTTATTCTGATGACAGAATAAGGCGGTGCCTCGTAACTTCACGTACACTGGTACGTGCAGAGGAAGACGGTAAGAAGAAGCGAGTACTTGGTTAGAGTAAAAAGTAGAACTGTATTCATAATAGTTAATGTCTGCAATAAATCACTATTTATCTTCATCTAACTATGTCTAAATACAAATGTGTAAATCAGTTATCTGCTCACCACTCATTGCGTGCGTCTGTCGTGGCGCGTCTTCGTTGGTTGATATAATGGCCTATATCAACCAATTAGGAACTACTTGTAAGTGCTACAGAATATTTGTCCTTATGACAATATTCTGAGAATATAACTCTTATAGTTATATTCTATTAACAATTTCTTATAAATTGTTATGTAACGATTCACCCCGTTACATCACCCCCCCTTAACCATCAGTCACTTTAGTGACTGATTGACTAAATGGATACTCGTCCCAAATCATTTGGGACAGGGTTTGCACTTGTTCGTCCGCGTCCACTTTCCAACATCTCATCGCATGGTAAACAAGCCCATGCGATGCGCGAACAAGGCCGCCGAGAGCGCGTCTGCATGTCTCTGTGCGGACGCCGAAGCAGAAACAACAGCAACTGATGTCTCATCGGTTGCTGAAGCGACCCAGCCTGTGTCACTTGGTGATGCAGGCGCTGGTCATGAAGACACTCGTGTCTTCACAGAGTACGAGCTCGGTGTCTCGTACTCTCCTGATACGGATGACGGATCCGTATCGACGGCGATTGAATCTAAGCCGCCTGCCAAGCGTGGCATGGACGATGCTTTGCGTCGCAGCATCTTTGGTTCATCTGATGAATCAGATGAACCATCGCCGAAGCGAAGGCGCTCGAGGTCGCGAGACTCGGGCGCTAATAGTGGTGTCGGTTCTCCTATGGACACCACTTCGCAACGAGGTGCCAGTACTTCTGTCGGCACATCGCAGGAAGAGCGGGACCGCAATGTCTTGCGTCTCGCTCCAGAAAAGAAGGCATGGATTCCTCCCAAATCTGTCATGGATCACTTGTCGGCGACGACGAGTGATCGTTATCGAACACGATTGTTCGATTCGTCAAGGATCCATCACCTTGACCCCAGCGCGAAAAACTATCGCGCTGAACATGAATTCTTCATCGATGCTTTCTTTAGACATCGATGGTACAGTGGGAATCACAAACGTGATGGTCCCTCACTACTTCAGGCGTGGAACGCCTACATCCATAACCTCGAGGATGTAGGTCGTGACGCTTGGAACGACAAACTTATCAAAGCTCGTGATAAGTTTGAAAAGCGAACCCCGACAGGTGCACGCTACAAGCTGCATCGTCTGTCAAGGGAGAAAGGATTACCCTGCCTCTCTTGGGGAGACTCGTGCCCATGTTGTGTGAACAACTCTGCACGAGCACCTAAGGAGGCTTACCTCCTTACCAGCCCGTGGTGGCGCGTACGTGTCTCTACTGAGATGTACGAAGGGATTGACAACCTGAAATCCCTTTACGACCGTGCCGGGAAGACTTTCTCCGGCGGTCCTTCTGCGGAACAGGATGTGCCGCGTCGTACTGCTCAACCAGACCCAGTACGTCGATCATCAGTTGGGAGCGGGGCTCCCAAGAATCCCAGGACGGGGGATAGCCGCGCCGCCGGACGAGATAACTCGTCCGACGTCCGTTCACGTCGCGGTGGTTCAACAGCTGCTCAACTAGATAGCGCTGGCCACCGCGAGAGTCCTCTAATGGAGGTGGAGGAGGAGGAAAGACGCTCTCCACACGATCATGTGGATCGGTGTGTTCCCGAGAGCTTCTTTGATCGCGTAACGCAAGGGTTACGCGACGATCTCGAGCATGAGCGGAATAGGCGTCTCCAAATGGCGGACACTGCCTCGAAGCATCGAGCTGAGTTTGCCTTTGCTCAGCTCGAGAACGAGAGATCTCTGACATCTCTTCGTGACGAGCTAAGGGTAGCTCGTGGGATTGTTGATCGGTCTCGGGCTGAGATAACTGCTCTTCAGACCCTTGTTGACGCCCACCATCGGGAGCACAAGGCTCTCTGCGAGATGCTTGAGCGCAAGGGCGTTCTTCATCGGAAGAAGCAGCGTACTGATGGTACGGCTTAAGCCGACCAACGTAAAACGTGGGATGCGTTCGCATCTTACGTGGTAACTCGATCGTGTATGCATTGCCTAGGCGGTGCAATACACGAAATGGGCCAATGTACTTGGGTAGTAGTTTACTGCTACCCAAGTTAGTCACTACATGCTTTGGTAGATTAACCGTAGACAGTAGGACTAAGTCACCTTTATTAAATAAAAGAGTGTTTGCCCTTCCATTCTTGTCAGCGTTTTGCTTTTGCTTATCCACCGCTTCGGCGATGGAGTCTTGCACAAAACGGACTACCGTTTCACGAGCCAGTATGAACTCATCTGATGACTCGTTAGCTTCAGTGTGCTGTGAGCGCACTGCAGCAACAACAACCTTTTCTTCAGTGAGGGCTTCCGCACTCTCACTGGGATCATCTTCTTCAGTGAGGGCTTCCGCACTCTCACTGGCATCATCTTCTTCGATATCGATGTTATCGATATCGGCATCAAACGCAATGACTTCTTCGTCAGAGCGTGATGAGCGTGAACCAATTCGTTTTTTTGCTCGCGCGAGTCCCTCCCCCCCTTAAACCAGAGGTACACTCTAGTAAGGTGGGTACACGCGGATGGCGCAAGCCATTCACGTAAAACGGTGTATGTGTCGTGGACGCATGCACCGAGTTGTTGATGGCAAACTCTACCATTGGCAAAAACTCACTCCAACTCTTAAAGGAGTGTACGTATTCTCGAAGTATCTCTTCAAGGACACGATTGGCACGTTCCGTCTGACCATCTGACTCTGGATGATCAGATGTTGACATCTTCAAGCGCGTTCCGAGTGATTTGAACACGGAACGCCAGAAATCAGCAGTGAATCGTGGATCTCTGTCTGATACGAGTTCACGGGGCAACCCATGAAGTCGGAAGATGGTGTCAATAAAGACACAAGCACAGCCACTTGCCGTGATTGTCTCTGGTACAGCCACAAGGTGTACCATTTTGCTGAATCTGTCAACAAATACGAGAATACCCGTATTCCCGCGTGCGTCTTTGGGTAACCCGAAGACGAAATCCATTGAGATGGATTCCCAGCACTCTGTCGGAACCGGTAGAGGCTGTAAAGGTGTACGCAGTGAGGGAATTGACTTCACTCGTTGACAGACTTCGCATGCGCGAACATACTTTCGCACAAACTGATACTGGCGGGGCCAGTAAAAGTCTCGACTTACCGTGAGATGTGTTTTCTCTCGGCCACGATGTCCTCCTATAGGAGCATCGTGATACTCGAACATGATCCGCAAACGCAGATCAGTATCATCTGGAATGACAACACGTGGTGTGTCACCAGAAACGGCTGTATAATACAGTAAACCGTTACGAGTAGTGTATCGATCTGATGCAGATCGATACGCAGAGCGACAATCGTTTCAACGATTCTCGGGATGGTTGGGAGAGATGTGTCAACAACTTCACAATCTCACCATCTTGGGCGTATGCCCGCCTCACATCATCATACAACGTTGTAGATGGGACTGAGGACGTCATAACCGCAACAGTGACCGTCTCACTGTTGGGTTTCGCGACTGTTTCAAAGTCGGGACGACGTGAGAGTGCATCAGCGACGACATTAAGTCGTCCTGGTTTGTACTCGACCGTAAAGTTGTATTCCGCAAAGAATGACAACCACCGCG